TTCCCCCTGACCACCAATGTAAGGAACATTCTTCCCCCCTGACCACCAGTGTAAGGGACATTCTTCCCACTGACCCCCAATGTAAGGGACATTCTTCTTCTTCTCACCAACCACCAATGTAAGGAGCATTCTTCCCCCTGACCACCAATGTAAGGAGCATTTTTCCCCCTGACCACCAATGTAAGGAGCATTCTTCCCTCTGACCACCAATGTAAGGAGCGTTCTTCCCACTGACCACCAATGTAAGGAGCATTCTTCCCCCTGACCACCAATGTAAGGAGCATTCTTCCCCCTGACCACCAATGTAAGGAGCATTCTTCCCACTGACCACCAATGTAAGGGACATTCTTCCCACTGACCACCAATGTAAGGAGCATTCTTCCCACTGACCCCCAATGTAAGGGACATTCTTCCCACTGACCACCAATGTAAGGAGCATTCTTCCCACTGACCACCAATGTAAGGGACATTCTTCCCACTGACCACCAATGTAAGGGACATTCTTCCCCCTGACCACCAATGTAAGGGACATTCTTCCCCCTGACCACCAATGTAAGGGACATTCTTCCCACTGACCACCAATGTAAGGGGCATTCTTTCCACTAACCACCAATGTATTGTTTTTAGCAGGGGTTCCTCCAAACCTGAACATTTCCTCTGGGGCAAAAAGGTTGAGAAAGGCCAATAACACCAACTTTTTTCGTTTTGGATAGAGTACCGAAGGACCAGAACCTCTGTGATGTTTTTATTGTTGTCTGTGTCCACGTTGGGTGGGAGTCGCCCTCTCTAGTGGTCTTGGTGACCACTAGAGAGGTCACCAAGACCACTAGCGTCGTCACCAGAACAGATATGGGGAAATCTTTCAATGGGACATCTGTTCTGGTGACAACGGTCTAAGAGGAATGTCCTCCTTAATTTGTAGAGATTTCCTCTTACTTCCTGTTGTGTCACTGGGATAGGAAGTGAAGGGAAATATTCCCAAAGGGACCTAGAGAGCAAAAACATATGACTATACACACACTTTAATAACAAGAAAAGGGTTACTTTAATGTGGCCCTGTCAGGTGACAGGGTACAGGTACCCACCATCATCTTTGCGTGATTGGGAGCCGCTGATATTTGATGTAAGAGGCACATAGACCCCGGCTCAGACCAAAGACCCACCTCAGGCCATTCAACAATCTAGCACTAGGACCTACATGGGGCTGGTGAGGGTCCCTCGTTGGGCTGTAGAATATCTGATGGTGGGACTTTAGCTCTTATTCCTTTATATAGCGGCTCTCTGGGCAAACAGATAAAAGGTTTTACAAAGGCACCTGCAGGGACCCCAAGGCACCTCCTGCACAGAGGGGGTATTGTAAGGGTGCAGGGATTTTCAGCCAAATTGGGAAGGGGGGGAGGTGGCGCAGTAGAAAACTCCACATCCTTGCCACGGTTTTCCCAACTTCTTTCTACTGCACAGAGCACCACAGAGCAGCCCACGCTACCCAGGGTGACACAAAGCGGCCCGCGCTACCCACGGTGACACAAAGCAGCCCACGCTACCCAGGGTGACACAAAGCGGCCCGCACTACCCACGGTGACACAAAGCGGCCCGCGCTACCCGCGGTGGCACAAAGCGGCCCGCGCTACCCACGGTGACACAAAGGGGCCCACGGTGACACAAAGGGGCCCACGGTGACACAAAGGGGCCCACGCGGCCCACGGTGACACAAAGCGGCCCACGGTGACACAAAGTGGGCCATGCTACTTAGGGCAACACAAAATGGGTCACCTTACCCACAGCACCCAACCCTTCCCAGAGCACCCTAAAGCAGCCTACCACATCCATGGCAACCCAAAGCGGCCCATATTACGCACAACACCCCAAAGCTGCCCACCCTACCCACGGCACCCCAAGGTAGCCCATCTTACACACAGCACCCCAAAGCCACCTACCCTTCCCATGGTACCTCAAAGTGGCCCACCCAATCCACAGCACCCCCGAAGAGGCCCATATTATACACAACACTCCAAAGCCACCCACTCTTCCCATGGTACCCCAAAGGGGCCCACACCCACCTGGCGATGGCCACCCACCAGAAGGCGTACCACACTACCCCAAAATAACCCACACACCTCCAACACCCCAAAGCAGATCATACCATACACAGCACCCCAAAGCAGTCAATTGTACCTATAGCACCCCAAACCTGCCCACAGCACCCAACTAAACACACTACACAGGGTACCCCAATGGCATGCTGTTTATCCCATAAGACCTCTGGAATAGCACACAGGACATGCCCAGCAGACACTCTCTATACCCACCGAGGACATGTGACCGTGGCAGGAAATCTGCCCCCTACACACCCTTCCCCCACAGCACCCGGACTTCCTTGTGGGGCCCCCAGATCAGTGCAAGTGACCCCCAATTTATGGCACCTCAAGTACACACACACCCCCCTCCCAGTGGTGTATCTGGACTGTCGGTACAATGGAGGAGTCTCACCTGAGCGGAGACGAGGACGGGGACGGGGATGACGAGCGGACTCAGCGAGGAAGAAGCGCCAGGCTCCCCGCTCTTCCTCCAACAGTCACAGCTAACACAGCTGTCCACATCTCCATGACAACGCCGCTCCTGCCAGTCCGGCCAATCACAACCGAACGTAGGCGGGCTTCCATCCCACACCGTCGGCTTCCGTAGCCTGAGTCTCCGAACCATAATAAATCGCCCAACTGACAAAGAAACGATAATGAACCCATGTCTAGCAACAACTAGATTTCGCTCACACACGTATGTGCTTAATACATTTACCGAGCACAACGTGGTCTCATGTGAATATTTTTCCCTTATTTGCTCCCTTACCCAATATGGCCGCCTCTCCTCCTACGGTCACGTGGTAGTGGTGACGGCGCGGCTTCCGGGTTGGCAGACGCATGCGTAGTGAGGCGAGGAGCTGGTATGTATGGGAAGGAGGTGAAGTTTGTTACGTTGTTTCTCTTCTTGGTGTGTCTTGCTCTGTTATCTCCATGTATTGTGTATGAAGGAGGACAAGATGCCAGAGTCTTGCTTGAACTGAGTCCGGGCCAATTTAACCGGGAGTCCTACTTACATAGCTCAATGAACCTTAAAGGCACAGACAGTCCACCTATTTACAAATATGTGCCCACACATTAATAAAAAGTGCACTTTCCCCCCTCCTCTTGAAACTCTCTTTCCTCCCCCATATCATCATCTGTATTACTGTTAACGAATGTGTCAGATCCTGGAATAGCTATTCTAACTACCACACCTAAACACCAAACACCCCTTGTAATTATACTATTATACTCTGCACCATTACCATTAAAGTTAAAGGAGAACTAGGAGGGGGCCCTTTTCACTCACCTCATAGTTCTAGCCGACCTGTGACAATGAGACTGTCACAGGTCGGCTCAGTAGATCGGGAAGTGAGCGAACACATACCGGCGTTCGCTCACCTCTCGATCCTGTCACGACTCTCTGCTGTGACAGGGGAGGGGCTGGATTCCCCCCGCTCCGCCAGCACTGACTGGGGGGCGGATACAGCTGGCTCTGCCTCTGGATAGGTCACTCACGCAGCTGGGCGGATCTTGACATCGATGTCGGGATCCGCTCCGGCTGCGGCGCCTCAGTATACCGCTAGCTGTAGCTCCCTATATACTGAGCTTAGGGTGACGGGAGGACGCTAGTTTGTGTCCTCCCGTTACCCTAAGGAGAACTATGGGGAAAAGCCCTGACTCCATAGTTCTCCTTTAAGCTCTCTCTAACATAGCCTGGACTCTTACAGGATAAGTAACCCACTGGTGACACATTCCCTGTATCATTGGGAAGCGCATAGTCAGACGCTTAAATTGTCTACTGGTTATTCTGCCACGGTAGCCGTTCCCATATTCCATGATCCGATCCATGTATGTAATATTGTAAACTGCATTGAAGCACTGTGCATATTACATGTTTCGCCTTGTCACTACTTTACTATTTGCTTCAATAAAAATTTTACATGAAAAAGTGCACTTTTCATATGTTGTATTGTTACGTATGCATGAAAATGCCCTGTGTATTTATATCTCCCTCGTGGGCTGTAATCTCATTCATTCCAGCATGTTTCAGGGAAGATGGCACTGAGGGCGTGTGGATTAATCATCTTCCGGAGAGTCCCGCCGGCCAATGACATTGAATTCCTCTTACTGCAGACGTCCTATGGGATACATCATTGGACTCCACCCAAAGGTACCCGCTGTGGGCTGCTACAGTTGCCGGGGGGAGCGATGAATCAGTGCAGATATTTTAGGCAGACCCTCCTGACCAAGCTGACAATGACTAGCAATGGATTCCCCCCGCTCCGCCAGCACTGACTGGGGGGCGGATACAGCTGGCTCTGCCTCTGGATAGGTCACTCACGCAGCTGGGCGGATCTTGACATCGATGTCGGGATCCGCTCCGGCTGCGGCGCCTCAGTATACCGCTAGCTGTAGCTCCCTATATACTGAGCTTAGGGTGACGGGAGGACGCTAGTTTGTGTCCTCCCGTTACCCTAAGGAGAACTATGGGGAAAAGCCCTGACTCCATAGTTCTCCTTTAAGCTCTCTCTAACATAGCCTGGACTCTTACAGGATAAGTAACCCACTGGTGACACATTCCCTGTATCATTGGGAAGCGCATAGTCAGACGCTTAAATTGTCTACTGGTTATTCTGCCACGGTAGCCGTTCCCATATTCCATGATCCGATCCATGTATGTAATATTGTAAACTGCATTGAAGCACTGTGCATATTACATGTTTCGCCTTGTCACTACTTTACTATTTGCTTCAATAAAAATTTTACATGAAAAAGTGCACTTTTCATATGTTGTATTGTTACGTATGCATGAAAATGCCCTGTGTATTTATATCTCCCTCGTGGGCTGTAATCTCATTCATTCCAGCATGTTTCAGGGAAGATGGCACTGAGGGCGTGTGGATTAATCATCTTCCGGAGAGTCCCGCCGGCCAATGACATTGAATTCCTCTTACTGCAGACGTCCTATGGGATACATCATTGGACTCCACCCAAAGGTACCCGCTGTGGGCTGCTACAGTTGCCGGGGGGAGCGATGAATCAGTGCAGATATTTTAGGCAGACCCTCCTGACCAAGCTGACAATGACTAGCAATGAAAGGGTTCCGAGCAGATAATAAAACTCATACATTAAAGTGTACAGTATCCAAACCCAAAAACAAACATTGTAATACACTATATTACCAAAAGTATTGGGACGCCCCTCCAAATCATTGGATTCAGGTGTTCCGTGGCATTTCCTGGCTAATAAATATCCCGCGGTCACTTGTTAGCGGTATTATAACAAAGTGGAAGCAACTGGGAACAACAGCAATTCAGCCACGAAGTGGTAGGCCACATAATATGACAGAGCGGGGTCACCGCATGTTATGTGTGTGTAAAGGCCGGCGTCCCAATACTTTTGGCAATATAGTGTATATTGCCGCTGGCACTAGTAGTAGTGGCTGCATTAGTTTTCTTTTTCCAGGCTAAGGCAATGTTACCAACTCTAATTACCAGTCGTGGGCCGCCTCTCTGTGGGTACCCTATCTACACCTCTCCCCCTAGGATACACATAGTGAGAAAACCAAGGAGAAAGTAGGGTTTACGGAGAGATGTAATTGACCAAGTCTATATGATTGACTAAAATTAATATCCAATTTATTTTGTACAAACAATAAATAATAGAAATTGACAATAAATATAAGTTAAAATTCGATACAATTCATATATCACACATTGCCCCGCATAGATATTTGTATACATATATCTAATGATTACATTCATATACATTGATATAGTCAGAGCTGTCACATTGATATATTCATGATCACATATTTGGCATTGGTATAGTTGACCAATATAGTGGCTTATCTTAGTTGGTCCCGACGTGTTTCGCCATAGGCTTCTTCAGGGGACCCATATAAATTGATCATGCACGGTCAATAAGCGGAGTTAAGGAGATATCGGGAGGATCGAAGAGATGAAAAAGGACTGAATTACTCCAGTCGCCAGACCCAGTCCCTTGTCACACCTGGGACCCCAAGGTCACACAGGGAGAGATGGCCCCAAGATCATCCAGTGGCTTCACCGAGATACTTAGCAGGGGTGAGGTAGGCTAAGATAGAGCCTAATTGGATGCTAGTTATCAGATAATTAGTCCCCCTGGTGGTGCAAGTATCTCCACATGCCTGGAAAGTGATCTCCGTCTCTATCTTAGCCTACCTCACCCCTGCTAAGTATCTTGGTATCTCTAATAGCCACAACAGGAAGTGAGAGGAAATCCCTGCAATAAACAAGTAATCCCTGGTGGTCCGCAGAACTAGTGTCCCCGTCGGAAGATTTCCCCTCTCTTCCTTCTCTGGTCACAACTCAAAATGTAGGATATCCTTTCACTCCCAGTGATGACCATGACAGATGTAGGGGATGAATCTCTCCATCGGGGACACCGACGGCAATAAAAACCCGGCGGGGGTTCTAATCCCTCTTCACTGTATCCTAAACGAAACAAAAGTTTGGGCAGTAGTTACACTTTAAGTCACAGCCCAGTGAAGTCTGACCTCCTGATTGACATACTTGTTCCAGGTCAGGAAGTACGGAAGCATTTTTTACTGCTTTACCGTGCATCATGATCTGCTGCAATGCAGGTGCGTTGGGGGGGGG